GAGGATTTTCAACTAACACAACACACATGCACGCTCTAAACCCACTAAAACAGGTCATAGATAAAACACCCAGACACAGACTACATAATGTGATATATGCAATACAATGCAGTGAGACATGGGCAGACCTGTACATTGGTGAAACAAAATAACCATTTCACAAATGCACAGCACAACAAGGAGAACAAACCCACCAGGACAAGATTCAGCAGTCCATCTGCATTTCAAAGGGAAATATCAGGCTTTTGAAGACAGCAAAGCCCACATTCTGGATAGAGAGGATTATTGGTTTGAAAGAGGGGTAAAAGAGACCATCTGTTTTAAAAATTGAGCAGCCCTCTCTCAACAGAGGAGGGGGGGATATGACAACACCTATCTCCTGTCTACAACACAATTCTTTCAGTTCCAAGAAGATTCCACTTCCATTTGTAGTTTGATTCAGCTAATCCTGAGGGCACAGATAAACCCCCACATGGCCTCAATGGTTCTCAGAGTGCTAACGACCAGATGACTGCAAAAAAACCATGATCCTTCCATTCCCCACCACCATCCTGCCAGAACCAGTAAAGTTTCTTGGATAAAAAGAGAAACATCTTCAAGGAAAAAACAAAGACCAGTTGCCTTTGGAGGAAAAAATACGTTTGAGAATTCAATAAAACATTCACATATACTGGGCTCCCCTAGCATCCTGGTCTCAATGATGGGGTGGAGGATGGATTATCATGGTAGGTTCACACTTTCTGCCACCAGGAAAGTCCTAATAAAAGCTCTTGCCCATTCTCAGGCTCACTCATCTTCTCCTAGTGGTGCTGTAGGCAACCCTAGATATCTCTTTTCATCTCCTAAAGCTCCCTAACCGCAGTGAGTCTGCATGAGGGACAACTAATACTGTTATCATCTACTCATTCCAGGCAATGACTAAAACCTCACAGTTTTGGACCAACCCCAAGTTCTTCTGAAACCTGATTGAGTCCATCACTCATCTTAGGTCAAATCAATCAATCAAAGAAACAAACAAACAAACAAACAGAGCCATTCTCCCTGCAGCGGGCAGTCATATAGAGAGTTTCAGAAGTAGAACGGAGTGATCTGTCAATGGCAAGAACTGGTGACAATATACTCCAAAACTGTGTGACTGCCATTGTGATTCACCTATTAATAATTTGGATGCCATGCTGTTACAAACTCCTGAGCTGCCCCTGGCTGCATGCAAAGAGAATGCAAGTTAAAATCTTCCTGAATCACCAGTCTACAGAACTCCATTGCCAATTTGATTGAGAGGGTTGGCTATAGAAATTAAAGTTAGGTAGGTAAACAGATACAGATGGATGTGGATGCTCAGGCAGGAAAGTTGTTGTGCAGCAAGGAGCCTGCTAAATGAGTAGCAATCCCAGCTGAGTCTTAAGATCTTGTTTCACAAACAGATTATCAAATCCAGCTATGTCTGTAGCAGCACCCGAAAAGCCATCAGACATTCTCAAATGACAGCTGCCACTCCTACACCCCTGCCCTGGCTTCCCAATTGTGGCCACATCTGAATCCTAGGAGATCACATTTCTAAGAAGAGACCCACACAATCTTTTGTGTACATCCAATTTTAGTAATGCCTACCAGATTCTCTCTTCATCTAAAATCATGGATAAGGTGGGACTTATTAAAGATGGACACTCCATTAAGCAGCAACAGCCAGAGGCCAAGACCACTGCAACTCTGAAGACCAGGCTTGGGGGACTAAGACAGGGGTCTGGAATGAGGCTATCAAGTTATCTTAGAAATTTGGTTTCTACACTTCACTTTATGCATGATGAAAGCAGCAAGAGATAGGGGCAAGTGAAAAAACGCTTCAGACTTTTGGTTACTGCCTGATGGGAACATATTGTGCTGATTTGATTGACTGAAAGTTTCAAAACTCTTCTGCAAAGTTTAAAAGGTGACTTAAGCTTGAAGAACTTCCCGTGGGTAAGGGGCAAGAGTCAGCATTTGACAGATCTGATGGACAGCAGGTAGATAAATAAATAAATAAAATACCAGAAATAGCTAGCTAGCTAACCAGATGGCTAAAACATGCATTGTTTTAAAAAGCAGCAACAGATAAATCATAATACATCACATCAAAACTTGTTGTGAATATGAGCTTCCCACAAGGAAACTCAACAGGGAAGCAGAGAATGTTGCAAGTTGCTCCTGTTAGTCATCCTCACCACTTTTTCTCCTAAGGAACCCCATGATAGACTATAGGATCCATGGATCTCATATTCTATACCACTTCTGCCTGCCCACGCTCTGCAGCAATAACCTGGCCAGAGCGCCTCCCTAACCACCCGTACTCGCCAGTGTCCACCCCGGCACTCACATAGTACCTGCACAATCCCCACCCCTGGTTCCTTGCCTGGGATTCCTGCCTCTTCCCATGTAATAACCCACCCAGTCCTGGAGTTACAATGGCATTCAAGACTGCCATCACTAAGCAATGCGATCACATAACATCACATTTTACAACTGTATTGCTTAGCAATAGCAAACCAAGTCCCAACTGCTGTCATAATCCAAGGACTACCTATACTAAAGCTGTGACTACCAGCTAATTAAGATGGGTGAAAAAGAATTACCTTGGCTAGTTACCATTATCAAACAGCAAATAGATGTGGCATACTTTTATCCTGCCTAGGTAGTTAACACAAATAAAACCTTGTTTTTTTTTTACTGTGAGAACTAAAACACTAACCCTTTTAAGGAAGACAATCTCAATTGTCTTACAATGATTCCATCTCTGTACATTCCTTTTATCAAAGAAAATGGTAATTTTTGAGGGCAAGGACTGCAAGTCTTGGAGAATTGAAATTAAAACCCATATATTATCACTGCTGATATTAGAATTTGGAGATAATGGATGGACACACTGATAAGTCACAGAGATTGGCTAGTTTGTCTAATGTAACTATTGTGGGGCATCTGTATGTGACAGATGATCACATATATACATGGAAAATAAGCAGCTATATCCTCTGATTTTGTGAAGGAACATTATTTGCTCCTATACTGCACGAGTAGGCTTGGAAGCTGTGGTATTCAGATCTATCCAAATTTTATTATTGTATATCATCATTTCAAGATTTGTTGTTGATGGTCAATAGCTGTTTTAGGTTGGTCTGCACCAAATTATCTGTAAATGGAAAATATCATTTTTCAGGATGGGCTGCAACCAACTGATAAAAAGCCTGATTTGTGCTAAAGGAAAACTATAGTGACAATGGCATTCTGGGTCTGTCATATCATAGATCATTCCTGAGAACCAGTCTATTTTGTTTTCTAACACCAATGAACCAACAATAGTTTGCGAAAAATCTGCTTAATAAAGTGTTTATGTAAGTAACAGAGGCTAAATTCCACCCACCTCATGGAAGCTCAGTTGAGTGACTACCTCTCAAGTTGCTTGGTTTAGGGAAATAATGGAAGAACATATGCCATGTACACCACCTGGAATTTATTTATTTATTTATTTATTTATTATCAAAATTTATATGCTGCCCAATCCCGAAGGACTCTGGGCAGCTTACAAAAAAGAAGAAGAAAAAGAGAAAGAAAAAACAAGAAAAAAAAGGACAGTTTAAAATCACAAAACCACATGCATTCATTCTAATCAGGGCTGGACCTCAACAATGAGGTCAACAGCCCCAGGCCTGCCGGAACAGCCAGGTTTTTACAGCTTTCCTGAAGGCCATGAGGCTGGGCGAGGCCCAGACCTCTGGGGGTAGCTGATTCCAAAGAGTCGGAGCAGCCACAGAGAAGGCTCTCCTCCGGGGGCCCGCCAGCTGACACTGTCTGGCTGACGGCATCTGAAGGAGGCCCAATCTGTGGGATATTTCTGGCCACTGGGAGGTATGTGGCAGTCGGTGATCTCGAAGATACGCTGGCCCTAAGCCATGTAGGGCTTTAAAGTTTGAGTTTGAGTTTCATTTTATTTATATGCCGCCCAATCCCGAAGGACTCTGGGCGGCTTACAAAAAAGAAGAAAAAAAAGAGAAAGAAAAAACAAGAAAAAAAAGACAGTTTAAAATCACAAAACCACATGCATTCATTCTAATCAGGGCTGGACCTCAACAATGAGGTCAACAGCCCCAGGCCTGCCGGAACAGCCAGGTTTTTACAGCTTTCCTGAAGGCCATGACAGTGGGTATGATCTGGATCTCTGGGGGTAGCTGATTCCAAAGAGTCGGAGCAGCCACAGAGAAGGCTCTCCTCCGGGGGCCCGCCAGCTGACACTGTCTGGCTGACGGCATCTGAAGGAGGCCCAATCTGTGGGATATTTCTGGCCACTGGGAGGTATGTGGCAGTCGGTGATCTCGAAGATACGCTGGCCCTAAGCCATGTAGGGCTTTAAAGATAATAACCAACACTTTGAATTGTGTCCGGAGACCAATGGGTAGCCAGTGCAACTCGCGGGGGACAGGTGTAACGTGGGTGTACCTCGGTGCACCCAATATCGCTCGCGCGGCCGCATTCTGGACTAGCTGCA